GAGAGCGAGAAAGGGAGGAAAGACAAAGACAACATGAACTAGAAGTATTACGACTAGGCGCTGGACAGAGACAAACTGGAGTAAGCGGTTTCGATCCGGTAAGGAATATCAAAATGGTCCCCAAATTCAATGAGAGGGAAGTCTCGAAGTTCTTTGCAGCCTTCGAGAAAGTCGCTGCCTCTTTGGAGTGGCCAAGGGAGAATTGGGCCATCATGATACAGTCAGTTTTGACTGGGAAGGCCCAAATTGCCTACTCTACGTTATCCCTTGACGACTCCGGCGATTACGATATGGTGAAGAAAGTGGTGCTCATGGCGTACCAATTGGTACCTGAGGCATATAGGCAAAAGTTCAGAAACCTGAAGAAGACCTCAGAGCACACTTTCACCGAATTCGCCACCATCAAGGAGCGACTTTTCCAGGAATGGTGTGCCTCTCGGAAGGTGGAGACCAGGGAAGACCTCGAGCAGCTGATTCTGCTCGAGGACTTCAAGGATTGTTTATCTGGAGACCTCAAGACGTACTTAGAGGAACAGCAGGTGGAGACCTTGAGTGCAGCAGCCACCATGGCTGAAGAGTATATCCTGACTCATAGGCCGTCTGCTAAGTACGTCCCAAGGCATTACCAGCGCCGGTTTGACAGACCTCACGACGAAGAAGAAGAAAGACCCGTCCCACAAAATGTTAAGAAGACTCCCCCAAGTAGCCCCCGAAGAACAAGTCCTAGTAGTCCGAAACACCGTAGTCCAAGGAGGAATATGGTGTGCTGGACTTGTGGGCAGAAAGGGCACGTAGCTGCTAGGTGTCGAGGCAGAAGAGGTGGCAGCGCACGAAGGGAGGTGATGTTGATGAGCTGTGGAGCACCACCAGTAGGAAACCAGTCTACGGCGACGCAGGAAGGACCAAGTTTGATGGCCCCTCACACTTCAACCGGGTATGTAACGAGTGATCATACTGGTAGATCAATTGTAGTGCTCAGAGATAGTGGAGCAGCCCAGTCCCTGATCGTGAAGAGCTCGTTACCCGAGGGAGTAAGTGTGGTTGGGAGACCAGAGGTTGTCCTGGTTGGGTTTCCTAGGACGCAGTACATCGCCCCCTTAGTGCCAGTACATCTCGACTCGCCTTATTTCAGCGGCACATGTGCGTTGGCAGTAGTCGATACCCTCCCTGTGGCTGGGATTGACGTGGTACTAGCCAACGACTTGGTGACCGATTGGAGCACCAATCATCCCAAGATAGCGGACGAGTCTACCAGAACAGCAAAGTCTGAGGTAACTACAGGCAATGGTAATGTCCAGGTAAAGACAGACCCGGATTTAAACATATTTAATTTGTCCTCTCCCCCGCAGATCGACAGTTATCTAGCAGTGTCTCCTGATTCTCTCGACGAGGAACATGAAGTTAAGAAGGCAGAGGTACCTGAGCAAGAAGAGAGGCCTTGTGTGCGGGCACCCGCGGATACCAACGAGTCTGGAGCGAAGGCGGACGTGTGCTTGCGGTATGGCAAGTTACAGCATGTAGTGAACCAGCCAGAGATTCCCCAGACGTCAGAGGTAGGTGCGGTGTGTTCAAAAGGTCTAGTGCCCTCTTCGGTCCAAGCCAGGCGTGTGGATGTGGCCGGCTATGGACATGACTGGCTCGGGAAGCTTATCCCTCAATTGGCCTCATGTTTCTTAGCGATATTTTGTTTTATTCTCGCATGTGTTCTCGTTTGTGCTCTCAGTGAGGACCGGTGGACGACCCGACGAATGATGGCTCCCATGAACATCGCGAAGAGGTCCCAGGGATTGGAGAGTTGTACTGCAAGTGTTGCAGTTGAAGAAGGGACCTGGGAGGTAATAGATGATACAGGAGGTACGATATGTGATAATATGAGTGACTGTTTCCGACAGGTTGACACCCCCGCGTGACTGCTGAGCCTCAACACAGCGTTATACGGAACGTTGGTCGACCTGACGGGGGCAGAGCGAATGCCATCTTCGGTGAGCAAGCAGCCCTGTTGGAACTAGGTGTGGGCCTAGTAGAGGAGTGTATAGTAAGTACTGACTTGCCCATTGTCGCTATCACTCTGAATTATCAGACCCCTGTATTCCAGGTTCCTGTCTCCCTGACGGACCATCGGACTGGCACCAGAAATGCCGTCTGTGGTCAGCCATCATCGGTGCCACGACATAGGAAAGTGTCGAGTCACCCCAGATCGCGTCGAAACCAATCCGTACTCGAGAGATGTGAGATGACGCCCCTGCTTGACATCGCAGTGGAGACGTGGAAGATTACGTCAGGCAGATCATTGCCTTCTATCTGCAAGTTCCCGTTGTGCCGGAAATGGCTAGTAGAAAAGTTCTGTGGACAAGACAGCCTCATCACTCCAGTTCATAGTATAAGTAAGTCCATTTGGAGTTGTGTCGCCCTGCTAATTTGGTTTGTGTTTTTTATAGAACCCCAAACCAAATTCTTTTTGGTGGGGAGGTGTTACGAACCCGGATCCAGCGTCCGAGCCTGGAGCAGTGACAAACACGCCATCTGTGGGTCAGCTCCCGAAACCCCCTCCAAACGAACGACGACACCTAGTGAGGACAGCGTGTACTGGCCTCGAGGACCAGTTTCTAGTCTGGTTCAGCGCTCAACACCACCGCTCCTGACCTCTGGTGAGGTAGTGCTCCGACGACAGCGCCATCTATGGAGTGGATATGTCGGGCGTTTGTATCTGAGCCTGTGAGTGTGGTGTATTAGTGTCCCAGTTATTGATGACGTGTCTGCTTACAGAGCCGACCTGGGACCACTGTGTTGAAGGTGGAGTCAGTCTACCCGAGGCAGCCAGTCTCCATACTGTGAAGTTTGCTGCAGCTGTTGTGACGTCGTCCCCCCCGGAAGAACACTGTGGTGTGTTAAGCCTGCCAGTGGAGTGGCAGTGGAAGGATTTACCCGGGACCGACGGTTGGAGACGATAATCCACTGGGGTATTGAGGACAGGAGGGTGATTGGTGATATCACACGAGACTCCTGTCTAGGGCGTACCCCTTTCATCGTTCGTGGAGTGGCCGTACCAGCCTTGGTGGCTCAGTACCTGCCAGCAGACCTGCTGGACGTGTGGTTGACGGCCTCCACGACGGTGCCCCCAGTGGACCTGTGTTGTGGCTGACCTGTGGCCAGGGTAGGCTAGGAGTTCTCAGAGGACACGTCTTGAGGCCACGAAGAAAGCACCGCAGACTCAGCACCTAGCTTCGAGGATCCATAGTCTCCAGCAGAAGACTACAGTGTTGATCCCCTTGTAAAGTGTTAATATCCTTCCCCCTTGTGTACTCTTTTATTCTATATATTTAATCGGTGATGGTGTTAAGTATAATATTAAGTTCTTAACTTTCTTTCCCTACTCCCTTTTAAGTTACTTGCAATCACATGAGACAAGCCCATGACATTACTCTAACAAGAGAAATGTTGAACAAGAATACTTGCATAATAGACAAAACCCAAGATTCAAGAAGATTACAAATTCTTGAGGCAATTCACATAAGAATAGAGCGACCTACCATGAACACCCAAATCACGGAACTATTTACTCTACCCACCATGAGAGTAAGGACAAGACAAGAACATATCGATGCCAACACAGAAGACAATGTCCAACATAACAGGCCAATTACACTGGATTAATCTTTGTGTATAGATAGGAGATGCCTCGTATGGGCCAATAAGCCTTCTGCAGCCCCTATGTTTATCCCTTATGTATCCCCCCATGTTTTTCACCTTCATTGTATTATCACCTAACCTAATACGGGTATAAAATCAACTAGTATTGTAAGATTGTTCACTTGAGAATGAACCATGGAGGTTCGAAACGTCGTGCAAATTATACAAATAAGTGTAATACACTCTATAGTAAATCACTTCTTTTCTTCACCTTAAAAGTACGAAAATGAGTTTTGGAGAACTCCTATTCCAATTAAGCCCTGATGCTAAGAAAATAGTTAGAGGGATAGAAGCCCTAAACCAGAAAATAATAAATACAGAATATGCGGTCATATTCAATGAAATATATATATATATATATATACCACCATGAGAGTAAGGACAAGACCAGAACATCTCCGAAATCGGAGATGAACTTTCGGAGATTATCAGAAAATTGGGAACATTAAGTGATCTGATGTTCCTCATCACTGAAATATTATAAAAACAGTTAAAAAATTTAATGAAAATATGAAAAATTAAAAAATAATAAACTATACTCACGAAATGAACGGTATGGTAAACAACAGAGCTCAATTCCAACACAATGTCACACAAAATAGATCAATAAAAAATAAAATAAATCGAAATATATTAAAATGAAATTTATCAATGCAATCTTAAACATTGAAATGGAATTCGTGACATATTTAGTATAGCGTGCATGTTGCTATTATGTGCAACAGATGTTTTTTTTTAAAACGCATGTCACAGGGGTGGTATCTTTATATTACGTATATAAAATCTCTCTCTCTCTCTAGAGAGAGAGAGAGGGATGTAAAATGCCTTGTATAGAGACAGTTATGAGCTTTTTGTTGAATCACTTGTGATATAAAAAGATTATTGATATGTAAATGTATATGTGTACATGGATGTATATATGTACATGTGTATGTAAAAATAACAATTGTGTAACTAGCTTTAAGAGATTGTCACTTGCTTTGCTAAAGGAGCTATGGGGTTCAGTTCAGGACTTATTATACGCCTCTGTAAACTTTTCTACCACCGCCCACGGGATGGGTATGGGGTGCATAATAAAAAAATGAAATTAAAATCATTTAAGTTCACTAAACATAGATACTGAGAAAAAAAGATAAACACTGTCACGCCAAGTCAGTCGTTCGTGGCTCCAATTACCAACAACACACAAACAAAACATTTATATTTCCTCAAATTAAATTACACATGATCACCATCTACATACAATACATTAAGATAAAATAATATGTCAAAAGGTGAGAATATGATACTGTGAATATCGTTGCACATACCAGTTGATGCACAGCACCTGAGATATTCTGAGTCCTATCTACCTTCAGCTCCGGATATATTATGACGCCTGCCTTCAGTTCCATCAGTGCGCATGCGTCAACGGCACACCCTGAAAAGTAATAATTCAACATAAAATAACTTTTTATCACAATAGTTTATATGATGTGTATCTTAATTATTGAAATTGAATGCCAGGAACATAAAAATTGCTGCGACATTGTTCAAACACAAAACATAGGAAATATGACCAAATGTAGTGTCGTCAGGGGTACGGATGCTTATAACTTCCACAGCCTGCGACAATACACACAGAGATCACAAAAACCCCATTTTTAAACATATTCATATATTTTGGGGGGAATTAAACTATATTCATCGTTTTAAAATAAAACATCTGACTGCATATGGTGAAAAAATGCATAATTTGAAGATTTACTATTGTTAGCCATCCACGGAAGTGACGTCTGTGGGCGAGGCAGCCGGGGCAGCTCTTATCACTTGGGCTGGCGATAGGGACCACTCGATACACCTACCTGTCACACCTCCAACACTGCTCCCTCAACTCATCTGATGTCTCTTCAACACAGCCCAATCAACTCACTTGACCCCTCTAAATCACTGTTCCCTCAACTCATCTGATGAGTTGAGGTCTTCAACACGGCCCCACCCAGTACACAATTGTAGGTTGCCATAACGTACCTGGAAAGTGTTTGAAAGCAGTGGCAACGTTTCTTTTCACGTAATAGCTACGTTATTGTGTGGAGTTGTAAATAGGTTGTCACAACTTACTGCACAACGTTGGTTAAACAAAATTTGAGACTTTGTGGTAACCTTAAATGTCGCATAAAAGTCGTTTTTGTGATTGATGGTATATATAAAAAATGTAAAAATATATAAAAAATATATTTCTACAGTTAGTAGAAATAAAACAGGATAGGCATAATAAAGGTTGGTATAACATTTTTTATTCATTATTTTCCCTTAAAGGAGAATCCATGATGATGGTGGTGGCTGTTCCTGGGTTGTGGTTGGTGTCAGTGGTGGTCAGTTGTTTTGGTGGGTGGCAGTGGTGGGTGTTGGTGGTAGTTGTGGCTGGTGGTTGATTGTTGCGTTGGTGTTAGTGGTGGTAATGGTTGGTAGTAGTGATGTTCTGGTGATTGATGGTTGATAGTTGTAACGATTGATGGCAGTGGTATTGTAGTGGAGGTTGGTGGTGCTGGTTAATGATTGTGGATGGTAATAGTGGTGGTTGATTGTTGCAGTAATGGTGGTTGATGATTGTTGGTGGTAGGGGTGATTGATGGATTGTAGTAGTTGATGGTAGTGTTTTGTGGTAGTACTTGTGGATTTTGATGGTTGTGGTAATTGATGGTTGTGGTGGTTGAAGGTAGTGGTGCTTGATATTTGTGGTTGCAGTTTGATGTGGTGATGGAAGTGTGGTAAGGTAGAATGGTGGTATGGTATGTGGGGTGTTGTGGTGTCGAAGTGTGATGTTGGGGGATGGAAGTGTTATGTGGTAATAGTGGTTTGGTTGTTTACTTTATTTGTAGTGGTTTGGTTGTGTAGTGTATTTGTGGTAATGATTGTTGTTGGTGGTGGTGGTTGTTTGTGGTGGTGGTAGAGGTTGTTGGTGGTGGTAGTGGTTATTGTTGGTGTGTAACGGGGGGTGGGGGGAAATAGCTCTCTTTTGTCCATTAGCCCCGTCCCTAGTTAACTATTCTAGAGTTTCTCCAGAGTTAATACTGCAACCTCTCTAGTTCAACATCTTGTCACCTCGGTATTTGATTACCTAGGTGCTACATCCACAAGGCATTGTACCTGATCAGCTACCAGCAACTCTAGAGAACTCTAGAACATTTCACTGCCACGAACGTATAAGGGTTAATTAGGGTTAATTGATATATACAAGAGTTTTTACATTCTTGTAAAGCCACTAGTAAGCGTAGCGTTTCGGACAGGTCCTTAACCCTAATTTCCCCGGAATACGACCCCGCCGAATCGTTTAACAACCAGGTACCCATTCACTGCTGGGTGAACAGAGGCTACAGTTAAGGATTGGCGCCCGGTCAATCCTCCCCGGCCAGGATTTGAACCCAGGCCAAAGCGCTTGCGGAACGCCAAGCGAGTGTCTTACCACTACGCCACGGGGACTGCTATAAGAGCAACGAAAGGCAAGAAATGAATAACAAAGTATTGAGTGAGGGTTTGGGGTGAAGGAGGAACAAAGAGTGTCATTAGTTGAAAGAGAAAGTTTGAAGAGAGGTGGAGGGAGAGTAGGAAGTAGTGGTAGAGGTAGAAGGCTAGATAGGTAGAAGTAGAAGTAGATAGTGCTGCCACCATCTATTCTAGTTCATTACATACAAGACAAGAAATGAAACTTATCTGTATCAAATGAACAAATCCACAAGGGCCGTGACGAGGAGATAAGGCAGCGTCTGGGATGCTCTCGGACGCAGGTTCGAATTCTCGTCACGGCCCTTGTGGATTTGTTTATTTGATGCATCACACAATTGTGATTTCTGTGTGTAATTGTCTGTATCACAAAATTACCCAAGAAGTTAATGAACCAACTCTAACCATGTAGTAATATAAAATCAATAAACTCAGAGGCTCTTTTGCCTCAACTCGCAAAGCTCTAGGGAACAAATTAAAGACAATTTAAACAAGTTAATCAAATATATATTTAAACAATTATAAGTATCATAATTCAAGCACTCGAACTGAAGGTTCACTTTTGTCAGGATTACTCAGCCCGTCCTCCAAACAAAGATCTAAAAGTGGTTCCATGCACCCGCCAAACCCCCTGTTTATAAATGAAAAGCGGTTTACACACGACTCACAACTGCTGACGTTCGAACATATCCGGAACAAGTGTTTCACTGACGAATTTTGTTCGAATCACAACGCTATAAATGCAGCCCGTCCTCCAAACAAAGATCCAAAAGTGATTCCATGCACCCGCCAAACCCCGTTTATAAATGAAAAGTGGTTTACACACGACTCACAACTGCTGACGTTCGAACATATCCGGAACAAGTGCTTCACTGACGAATTTTGTCCGAATCACAACGCTATAAATGCTTCACCCACGTACTACAAATACAAATAATCGCCAACAGAACCTAAACACCTAACCTAATCTATCCTATGCCTATATATCCACAATATGCTAATATATTATAATATTAATTTATACTTGAGAAAATTCCCATTTTGAATGAACAGCAAGTTAAAATTTATGAATGCGTCTGTGGGGTTGACCGCTGGATGTAATGGACTTGAGTCGAGGACGGGTTGATAAATGCTTCAGCCACATACTACAAATACAAATATTCGCCAACAGAACCTAAACACTTAACCTATGACTATATATGCACAATATGCTAATATATTATAATATTAATTTATACTTGAGAAAATTCCCGTTTTGAATGAACAGCATATTAAAATTTATGAATGCGTCTGTGGGGTCGACCGCTGGATGTAATGGACTTGAGTCGAGGACGGGTTGGGAGTACTATACAATGTGAGTCATTACACAAGTCTTTGAGACCATTACAGCTGTCTGCCCCTGATAATCACACAACACCTTAGTAAACACGAACTAAGTCACCTTAACGTTCACTCTCCAAGGACTGGGCCTAAGCAGAGTAGAGTAGAGGAGAGGGGGTCTACAGTTGACAGGCAGAGTACCCCCCCCCCCCCGGCCGGCCAACAGCCTGTCTCGGCTGCTGCTGATGCTCTGCAGTCTGCTATGCTATGCTCTGCTCTATCCTCTCGAATGTACAGTTCCCTGGGTATTTATTGGGAACCTAGTAGCTAACTCCCCCTTCAAGTAAGATAGCCCCCGGCCATTTACCTACCACACTTTAAACCGCGGCTTGTTTGATGGGGCTACCCGGCTACAATTATCAGCTTAGCAGATGCACGGTCAAATCCCACAACCTGACCACGGGTCAGTTTGTTGTCATTGACACTTCGAGATGTCAGGTCAGACATCTCTAAGTGTTAATAAGGCGCCAGGTCAGACAACCTGTCGCCTTTCAAAATCCTGTCCGGCTGACTCAGGGTTCTATGTATATATTAACTAAACACAACAAAACACCTTTATGGTGTTACAGGTGGTGGTGGTTGTTGGTGGTAGTGGTTGTTGGTAGTATATATATCATTGTTGTTTGTAATTGATGTTGTGTTACAAACCCAAGTTCATCGTCAGAGCACGGAGCAGTGACGTCAACGCCATCTGTGAGTCTGCTCCCGAAACCCCCACGAAATGGACGCCATCTAGTGGTGACAGGAATATGCTAGCTCGACATGCTAGATTCTTGTCCTGGTAGCTCGTGAGGTAGCTAGTGCTGACCTCTGGTGAGGTGGTGCTCAGAACATCTGCGTCATCTATTGAGCTCGAAGCTGTACGTTTGTGTATAAGCCAGTAAGTGATGTTTCCTAGTGGTTCCCATGTAGTGTCCCAGTACTGATGACGTGTCTACTTTCGTCAACATAGGGCTGCTGTGATGCAGGAAGAGTCAGTCTACCCAAGGCAGCCAAGGTCTCTTCACCAGTCTGCTTTGTAGAAGCAGCGAGCCACCGCCGGACGAGAACTGTAGAATGTTCAACTATCTGCCTGAGGAGTGGCAGTGACGGGATTCGCCGTACCCGGGGCTGGCTGGTGGAAGAGACGGCCAACTGTAGTGCCGAACGAGGAGAGTAACCAGCGAATTACACGAGGCTCCTGCCTAGGGCTCGCAACCCTAGTATTCGCTCGTGAAGTGGCCTAACAGCGTGAGGCTGATTGGTACCTGCCAGCTACAGGCTGGACTGTGGTTGTGGGTCTTCACGAAGAGGCACCCCAGTGGAATTGAGATTTGGCTGGCCTGTGGCCAAGGTAGACCCATCGTGGTTTTCCGGGTACTTGCAGAGGGTAGTGCCGCAGAATGGGAAACCAGGCAAGACTGCACAGAGTGAGCTTCGCCAAGTGTTCAGCGTCTTCAGAGTGAGCTTCGCCAAGTGTTCAGCGTCTTCAGAGTGAGACGATGATGTACATTGTGTAGAGATATTTCCCGTTTATGACTTTTATATATCTATGGCAGTGGGAAGACTAATTATACATGGTGTAAAGTGAAGAACC